TACTCTATCTAGACGCCGGTTTTACCTCTTAACACCTCTCGATTTGATCAACAGGAAATGTGTAAATTCTTACTAATTTCCATTATTAAGCATTTATTTAAAATTGGCTGATCTGCTATATTCATTAAATTTTATTAGCTATTAGATCTATTGCACATCGGGTAAACCAATTGGCTTTAGAATTCAAAGCAATTAGATCAATAGCTGCATCTGTCTCTAATAAGTTCGCTTTCAAATCTTCTAGCTCAAATGTAATGGCTAATTTAAAAGAAAATAAAAGGGCTGGAGATGAGGATGAGAATCTTTCTGCTTCTGATAGTGAAGAAGTAAGCATTTACCGTCATCTTCTACTGCTAATTAATACACTACAAATAAATATTTTCCAAACTAGGATGTAGCAGCAGCTCAAGTAAAGGATAAGAGACTCAATATTTGTGAAGAGAAAAACAGAACCAGACTTGTTGCTAAATCTAGCATTATCCTCGAAATCAAGCCTTGGGATGATGAAACAGACATGGTAAAAATGGAGTCAATGGTCCGCAGTATTCAATGTGATGGTCTTACCTGGGGTGAATCTAAATTAATTTCATACGCATATAAAATTAAAAGACTCGAAATAGCTTGTGTCTTAGAGGATATGAAGGTAGGCTTATTTACTTTTGAGCAATTAATATTTCTCCATCGTTTGTACTGCAACGATTTGATATTTTAGGTTGGAACTAAGTTTTTGAAGAATGAAATCACAGCCTTCAGTGATTTGGTACAATCAGTTGATATTGCTGCCTTTAGCAAACTCTAATCAACTCCTTTATATAATGTATTCATTGAATGGTTACTATTTAGTATTATTGATGACAATCCTTGGTCATATCTTCATATTTTGCGATTGGTCATTGACGGGTTGGGATCCTTTTTTCAGTAAGACATTTCTAAATTTTGCGTTTCAGTGTTTACTCTACAGGAGTCTTTCTCTGTGATTTCAATCTTAGGAACGTTAATAAGGAAGCCTTCAAAGTACGCGAGAATGTATCAATATTTCGGTGCATAGAGTTTAAGTATAATTTTATGTTATATTATTAATTTGCCATGACTAATAATAGTATTTTTACAATAGTTTGACCATTCAACAGATTTATTCCCAAAGTATGAAGAAAAACTAGGTTAAGAAGAATTCCTTAATGAAATATTGCGGCACGACTATCCATTTCGATGGAAAAGTTAGTTGGAAGGAATTCGTTACATA